CGACGGCGTCAACTTCGACACGGGCGCCCGCACTGCGCTGGCGTTCGTGACCCTACGCGCCGACGGCGAGCGCGAGTTCATGTTCTACAGGAACCCCAGCGCCGACATGCTCCTCACCCCCGATGAGTTGAATCTGGGATTGATTAGATCTGTAAGTTTCTGCATCTCGATCGATCGTCGTCAATTATACATACATAAATTACTCATTCGAAAAATGTGTTTGTTGGTCTATGTGTACGGAAAACGCGAGATTTGTGCTCTCGACGTATTGCTGATTTTTTGGGGGAATCTGATCTCAATTTATCTACTTTTTTTGACTTGTGCTGATTTTTTGGCTGAATCTGATCCCAATTTATCTGCTTTATTTGGCTTTAGTACTTATTTGGGGTGAATCTGATTCAAGTCTCTTTGAAACTTTTTATTATCTCTGTAAAAGTTGTTGCAATAGTACTTCATCTACCAACCGTGGTTAGGACTCAAATGACCTTGATTACATTAAGTTGACACAAAATGTTGGGTGATAATAATTTGATCTCTTCTCATAATCGTGTAACTCGAATTCGATCTGTTTTTTGATTTTGTATGATATCAGGCAAAGGTGTTCCATTATGGATCGATAAGTTTGATAGTGGAGCCGTGCAGATCGGCACATCTAAAGGCAATCGACGAGGCCAAGGCGGCTGGCGCCTTGCTGTCGTACGACCCAAACCTCCGTCTGCCGCTCTGGCCGTCGGCAGAGTATGCAAAGGAGCAGATTATGAGCATTTGGGACAAAGCTGATGTCATCAAGGTGAGTGATGTGGAGCTCGAGTTCTTAACCGGGAGCGACAAGATTGACGACGAGACAGCACTTTCCCTGTGGCACCCCAATTTACAGCTCCTTTTGGTCACTCTTGGCGAGAAGGGATGTAACTATTACACCAAGGTATATCTTTTTTTCCTTTATTTTTTATTTTTAAAAATTATTAGTATGGATCTCAGTTTGTTTTTAAAATTTAATCTGTATTTCTTTGAATAACTAATTATTTGCTACTATTACTTTTTTTTTAGTACTATTAGTTTTTTTTAGTCCGGTAGTACAGTGGTTTCAATATGGTATTCATATAATTGAAACAAATCTGTGGATTTGAACTGAATGAAACAAATATGTGGATTTGAGCTGAATTAAGGGCAATATTTTAGTTGTTGTACAACTCATGCCGTGTCTTTTTTTTCAAAAGGAGATTAATTGAAAATTCAATATATGCATAAAAAAAAAAATATTTCGTGCTGTTGCCTCAGAATCTTTTATTTTTAAAAAAGGTGAATCATGTGATTGGCTAAATGTGCGCCCCCGCCCCCACCTTGGGATTTGTGATTTTCTTTTTCCAGTTCTATGCATTGAGACACTTGAAAGGTTCTTTTAATTTAGATTAAAAGAAAAGAATCAAAATAACCAAAAACGAAAATAAATAAATAAAAAAAAATGATGAGATTATATCCTGTGCTATTCACCATTTATGACACAAATTATATGAAATTATATGAAATTAGATCATTAGGTAGGGATAAAATTATAAGAAATAATGTACCTTTTCTCTT